AGCCCAGCTTATCTACCAGTTAATGAATGGACAAGGTACTGGTTTTCATCCAACGCATTGCAATGTGTTTCGTTGGCAGCCTTTGGATGATAATTCAGCATCTGTGGACCCCTGCTCTTTCATCCCCACCCCTAACAAAGAAGAGGATGATGAACTTGAGTACCCGAAGACTGCATTTCAGCCTCGGAAGATTAGACCACCCAGAGCCTCCCCACTTCCAGTCTTGAAGTAGGTGTTGATTTTGATCCATGGCTTTGAGATGTCATTTGTCTTTCTAGTCCACATTAGTATGAATGCAGACTGACATCTATCTGAGGTTTTTGTGGTTTTTTTCTTTTTACAGCTGGGGCAATAGAGAAGAGGTTTGGAGGATCATGTTAAACAAGGAAAAGATTTACCTAAGAGATGAGCACTTTCTGCAGCGCCATCCTCTCCTGCAGGCAAGGATGCGAGCAGTTCTTCTGGATTGGCTAATGGAGGTGAGCTTGATTGTCTTAGCCACTGGCATACAATTGCTAGATCTTTCTGTGCTACTGCAATCTATATATGTGCTAAATTGTTTTTAAAGATGTCTCCTGGAATGTACATATCAGCTGTGCAGTGGTCACTGTCATTAATTGTAGTCTTACATGGACAGGTTATCTGCAGCAGTCAGATCTCACAGGTGACTTTAAATTCTTTGAGTCCATTCTTTCCTCCCAGAAAGTTTTTGTTTCTGTTTTTGAAGACAGGATTTTTCTGTGTAACAGCTCTGGCTGTCCTGGAACTCACTCTGTAGACCAGACTAGCCTTGAACTCACAGAGATCCGCCTGCCTCTGCCTCCCAAGTGCTGGGATTAAAGGTATGTGCCACTACAGTCCTGCTCCCAGAAGGATTTCTTAACAGGCTGGCTGTTCTAATTGTACTGAGAATCATTTCCCTACTTATGTGTAGTTTTTGATCAATAAGCAGGTACATGAGGCTGGAGTGGAGCTTGACTACATATTCCAGGCCTTAGGTTCCATTTCAGGCAGCTCAAGAAACAAACAAATGCCCTATTTTCAAAAGTATGACAGACTAACAAGATAATCATTAAACACATTTTTTAAAAAGGAAATTTAAAGGCTGAAGCTCTGGCTGTAGTTGGTGCATTGGCCTCACATTGAGCCCCGAGGCTCAATCGTTAGTACTGCCAACAGACAGTGAGATTTGACTAGTGCTACACACCTTACTGGGGATGAACTTTGAATCACACATGGTGCTTGGCTTCAAGGAGCTTTCTAGGTACCTGCAGTGAGTAAGAAATGGCATTTTCTTTGAAAGGTGGAAGAATTATCTTAGCAGGTTCACCTTCAGAAGTATGTAGAGGGAGTGTATAAGTAACTTGTATTATGGGGCCATCTACTCTTTGGAAAGCCAGTGTCCAAAGTTTACATGCATCCTAGTGGTACCAGACAGATTTAGAATCATTTTCTGCTGACATCTACATCGATGGGCCTCAATCAGACAAGTTGCTTAAATTTGAGTCTCAGTTTTATTTTAGACAGGTTCTCTCTCTCTCTCATATAGCCCAGGCTAACCTTGAACTTGCTATGGAGTCAAAGTTAACTGTAAACTTCTACCTCCACCTCCCAAGTAGTAGGATTATGGATGTATACCACCACAGGTTTTGTTTTGTTTTCTTAAGACTTATATGTATCTGTGTGTGCCACTTTTATCTGGGTGCCCACGGTGGTCAGAAAAGGGTGTCAGCTAGAGTTATAGGCAGTTGTGAGCCGATCACTGGGTGCTGGGAACCAAACTTGGGTCCTGGAGAACCCGCAATTGCTATTAGACATTGAGCTGTTTCTCCAGTCCCAAAATCTGCTTTCTTGTTTCTAGTATCTTCTAGAAATGCTTTGAGCACAGAGTTGTGCAGGCTGGAAACACTGTATAAGCCACGTATCATGGTACAAGCCTGTAATCCTACGACTCTGTCCCCACCACTGCAAAAGGAAATATAAGCTGCTACATGTGGTGGCACACAGTCTTAATCACAGCATTTGGAAGGCAGAGGCAGGTGGACCTCTGAGTTCCAGGCCAGCCTGGTCTACAGCGCGAGTTCCATTTCAAGCCAGGGCTACATAGTAAGACCCTGTCTTAAAAAGGAAATGTAACTGGTACTGCTCAGCTGTGAAGAAATACACTAGTTCTTTCTCTGAGTCACAATGAAGCTTGTAAATGGGGGTTACATTCTTTGAGCACTGTAGGCTTTGCAGGGTAGGGATTGGTCTATGAAAATGCCACTTTGATCAGACTGAGCCTGTCTGATTGGCTCTCGCTGTTGTGTAGGTCACAGTGCTCTCAGTCAGAAAAGTAGTTAGCATTTTGACTATGTCAGAACTCAGCAAGTTTGCTTCTGCTGTACCCTAAGAAGCTCTTCTAACATGGAACCCTCTTCCAGGTGTGCGAAGTCTATAAGCTTCATAGGGAGACGTTCTACTTGGCGCAGGACTTCTTTGATCGTTACATGGCGTCACAACAGAATATCTTAAAAACGCTTTTACAGCTTATTGGGATTTCAGCCTTATTTATTGCTTCTAAACTTGAGGTAAACAACTCTTTAACATTCTTTATTGTTTTGTGTTGTTTTGGTGTCTGTCCTGGATCTCACTCTGTAGACCAGGCTGGCCTCGAACTCAAGAGATCCGCCTGGCTCTGCCTCTGCCTCCTGAGTGCTGGGATTAAAGACATGCGCCACCACCACCTGGCAGTTTCACTTCTTTATAACTAATATATTTGGGGTTGATGAAGTGGACCTGTGTTGGGCCTTTAGTATATCCTCTTTCTGTGTCAGCATGCCAGAATCATTTTGGATGCACGGCCTAATCTGAAGCTGCCAGGAATGGTTTCCTTCTTATAGCACCTTCCTTCTGTTCCCTTTTAGGAAATCTACCCTCCAAAGTTGCACCAGTTCGCTTATGTTACAGACGGCGCTTGCTCCGGAGATGAAATTCTTACCATGGAATTAATGATGATGCAGGCAGGTTACACATTAATACCTCTCTCTCTTCGTGTGTATGTAAGAGAGAGACATCAGCTAAGTGTACACATCTATCTTTTCCCATGGGGAGGTGTGGATGCACCCAATGGGTCTTCTCTAGCTAGACATGTGGTGGCAAGGCCTACAGCTGCATCTTTGGAACTTTTCACAACTATCATCTCTTTCCCTTTAGGCCCTTAAGTGGCGTTTAAGCCCTATGACCATTGTGTCCTGGCTGAATGTTTATGTCCAAGTAGCATATGTCAATGACACAAGTGAAGTACTGATGCCTCAGTACCCACAGCAGGTCTTTGTGCAGATTGCAGAGGTATGTGGACTTTCTGCTTCCCCATCCTGTGTGTGGGAGCTGGGGGAGGGGGAAGCACACCACAACTCACCAGGGGCTTCTAGAAGCTTCATGTGGCATCTGTCTTAGCACTCCTGTCTTCCCTTAGCTCTTAGATCTGTGTGTCCTGGATGTTGGCTGCTTAGAATTTCCTTATGGTGTCCTTGCTGCTTCTGCCTTGTATCATTTCTCCTCGTTGGAACTGATGCAGAAGGTGTCAGGTATGTTGTTTTTTTTCCTGTGAGTTTGCAGACAAGGTGTCTTCAACCTAGGGACCAGTTGTCAGCTAGACTTATCCTCTAACTTCTCTACTGGCAGGATATCAGTGGTGCGATGTAGAGAAGTGTGTCAAGTGGATGGTTCCATTTGCCATGGTTATCCGGGAGATGGGAAGTTCCAAGCTCAAGCACTTCCGGGGAGTTCCCATGGAAGCCTCCCACAACATCCAGACCCATACCAACAGCTTGGATTTGCTGGTCAGTGATGCTCTTGTTCCCATCAGACAAGTGCTTAACCAATGTTGCCTGAACAACCTCACTTTTCTTCAGGCAGGCCCCAGGAGCCTCAGAAAGGCCAGTTCTCCTAATTCCATTATGTTTCTGGTCCACAGATCCTGTGTCTGGGTATCTGCAGACCATAGACGTTAGGTGGGAGGGGTTGTTTGTTGAGACAAGGTCTTATAGAGAGCCCAGGCTGACCTAGAACTCAAAAGTCAGCCTCTACTCCCAAGTGGTAGGATTACAAGTTTGCCACCATACCTAACTTTAGATCTATTAGTTTTTACTTTTATTTTTGTTATTTTTCCCACTCACCTTCATATTAAAAATGTACATCAAATGAAACAACACTTTTTTAAATTTGATGACAACTTTTCCTTTTATTTCATGTAGGACAAAGCCCAAGCAAAGAAAGCCATATTGTCAGAACAAAACAGGATTTCTCCTCCTCCCAGTGGGGTCCTGACACCCCCACAGAGCAGTAAGAAGCAGAGCAGTGAGCAGGGGACAGAATGACCAAACCTGCCATCGTCTCCAAAGACAGTGGTGTAGAAGCAGCTGCCTGGAGCTCCTTGTGCTGCTTTGGAAGTCGGGAGCCCCTGCAGATGCTCTGCAGAAAGGTGCATCTCTTCCAAAGCAGCAGGGGTCTACAAAATGGCCTTGGACAGAAGTGCTTTTATTGAATGCTAGGGGTTTTAATAATAGGGTCAAGTACACCAGCCACCTCCAGAACACCACTGAGTGCTCCAGAAGCTGCTAAAGGAGGGTGCTACTTGACCCACTGGACTCTTCACACATGACAAAAGCTTGAAATTAAGGAGGCCACAGTCTTGCTGGCCTCTGCTCGGGTGTTCTGGGTTGCTGTTGCATTGGGTGGGACAGGTGGTTGTGAGCAAGCATGGAATACAGAGCCCACAACCCGGGCTAGGCCACCCTTTTCCACTGTCAGCTGACAGCATGTCCTGCCTTTCATGAACTCTTGTTTTGTAAGTGCTGCTATGTCTATCAATTTTTAATAAAGATAATACTATCTTTGAAGCAGCTGTTTTTATGCTGTCTTGTAACAGAAGCTAGAAGTTGCCTTTCAGAATGGCTCTACCAAGTTCTCTTGGTTTCATGATTTTTGAGACAGTCTTGCAGTGCAACCAATGCTGGCCCAGAGCTTGCCATGTAGCCTAGACTTCCATGAGACTCTTCTACAATGCCCTACACAGGTGTCTATTTACACTAGAGTCATTAGCTGTGGTAGGCAGTGCTAGTGAAGCTGTTCCACACTCAGGGAATTTTATTAGTGTCATCTCTCCAGACTAGTTAAAGGTCATTACAGAGCTCTAGTTCATGTTCTTCACCCTTATCCAAATCTAAAGAAAATATGAGAGATTTTGTTTAAACAATTTAACATAGCCTGAAACAGCTGCTAAGGAAATGAACCTAGGCACATTGGTGTACACCTGCAGAACCAGCATGTGGAAGGTTCCAAAGTTTTAGGTTACCCTGGGCTACTCAAAAGACAGGAAGGGGATGGGGTGCAAAGTTAGATGACATAGCTAAAGTGAGGTCAGGACATTTAGTGCAGTTTATTTTCTGATAGGCTATAGAAACACCCAAAGCCCTGCTGCTGATCACTTTAGGCCTAGTGTGTACATTTTGATCACCTTTGTTGGTCATTATATTTTCACTTTCTCATTGCCTCAGTTTGTATATACACACAGGAAGATGACTGAGCAAGTAAGTGCCACTTTTATTTTCAACTTACTTGAATCTGGTTTTCTTGGGGCTGGGGGGGCGCATTTCAAGACAGGGTTTCTCTGTATAGTTTTGGTGCCTGTCCTGGATCTTGCCATGTAAACCAGGCTGGCCTCGAACTCACAGAGATCCGTCTGGCTCTGCCTCCCAAGTGCTGGGATTAAAGGCATGCACAACTGCCGCCCGGCTAGTTCTGGAAGTTTTAATAGTCTTCCTAGTCAGTGTATCAGAAACCTACACCTGGGGCTGGAAAGATGGCTCAATGGTTAACAGCACTGGTTGCTCTCCTAGAGAGCCCAGGTTTGATTCCCAGCTCACCTCTATAACTCTAGTTTCAGGAAATTTAATGCCTTTTCTGGCTTCCTTTGGTGCTGCATGTATGTGGTTCACAGGCATACATGCAGGCAAAACATTCATACAGATAAAACTTTTAAAACAAGTCTACATCTATCCAAATAACATTATTCCTAACTAGTTATTTCTCTTTTTGTTGTGTTTTTCAAGATGGTTTCTCTGTAACAGCCCTGGCTGTCCTGGATCTCGCTCTGTAGACCAGCCTGGCCTCAAATTCATAGAGATCCACCTGCCTCTGCCTCCCGAGTGCTGGGATTAAAGGGGTGCACCACACCCAGCTAAGTCTCAAGCAGAAGCACTCCTGTCTTAAAAAGCAAAGGCTACCATGGTGGCCTATACCTGTAGTCCTAGCACCCAGGATGCTCAGGCAGGAGAGTCCAACCAAGGGCAGCCTGGGCTACATAAAAAGATCCTATATTACAACAAATAAAAAAGTAGTTAGATATTTGATACAGAGTCTCACTGTGTAACCCACACTGGCCTTAAACAGTCCTCCTGTCTCAGCCTCTTTAGTGTTAGGATTACAGTTATACACCATCATGCCTAGCATGGAGCTTGTCAAATGCCAATGCCATCTGTACTAACAAAGAATTCCTCATGGGTGAATAAAATCTATAATATTTGGTAATTCCTGTGGCTCATCATAAAACCCTGGGAAGCACTAGTGAGTGACAGGTCCCTTAGCAAAGCTCCCATCTTCTGGTAACAAGTCTGTGGCTGATGCCTCTGTAGACCTGTTTACAGCATTCTTTCTGTTCTACCATTCAGCCAAAAGCAGCTGAGGCCAGGTGATCATCAGGAAGGTCACTGGTTGAAGAATCAAGAGCAGAAACATTCTTGCATCTGACATAGGGACAGAGCCTATTGGTCCACCACACCAGTCTCTTCCCCAGCTCACAGTTTACCAGAGTCTCTGTCATTTCTCTAACCACTGCCTAAAACATTGGTACTTAGATGTTGGCATGGAAAGCTTTCCAGTGCCATCTTCCCCAGGTGGTAAAACAGCTTGCTGTCTTTTAGAGGTCCTTTCATACCAAGTGGATAGATGAGTCATGTGGACTAAGGTCATGTGGACTGTGTTTCTGAGGCAGACAGGTATGCCCTTTAAGATATGAACACAGTGCCTGACCCACCTCTCTCCTCCTTCCAACTCAGCTGCATAGGAGATTGCAAGATATTCAGACAAAATTAGGCTGTAGCTCAGAGCAGGGATGGAAGGGAAATCAGGTCTGATAATGTCTCGTCCTATTTACCCAACCGTGCATTTTCCTACCACATGTTCAGCAGTTTGAAATTCAAGTCACATTTATACCTTGGACATTGTTAGAAGACTATTTTTATCCCTGCTGTAATCATCTAATTTGCTGATTACAGGTCTCAAATTGCCACAGAGAACTCAATTTTTCAAAGAATTGTCCTATTTGATCAAATATGTTATTCAAGCAATGCAGTCATTTGTTCCACAAGGTTACCTAGCAGGCAGAGTTAACCAGGAGTAACAGCATTAGAAGCCCACACTTAAAACCAGGCATTAGCCAATCTACCCGCGACAATAAAGTCCTAAATATAATTTGCTGCAGACACTCAGTTCCTGCGCTGACAGACAATTGCATTTTCTATTCAATGAGCATAGATTTTTTCCTACCTTGTCCTAATTCTGAATTTAACTCCAGAAAACTCTAATGTGCTCAGTGTCACTGACTTACCTGGTACTATTTCCAAGGAGCCTCAGTTGGGGAGGACAATGCTGTCTCTTATTAAATAAATAACCCCTTTAAGTTGTCATTCTCGTCAATCCCAATTCTAAAAAGTGTAGCATCAGACTGGCCCAAGAGGTTCAAGTCTAACACTGGCTTTTCCCACTTGGAGGAATGAGGTCCTTTCCAGTGGGTCCTCTACTGTGTGCTGGGTATCACCAATACTGGAGACTAGGTCCAGAAAAAAACAGCAACCCAGGATCGGGGTGGCCTCCAGGGACCAGGCTGGAGCAGTTGTTCCTGTTGCTGTTGAGGTTTTTGTCTTTTGAGACAGTTTTGCTGTGTAGCCCACACTGGCCTGAAACAGGCATTGCTCCTGCCTCAGCCTCGTGTATTGGGTTTACAGGTGTGTGTGTCCCCCCATGCCAAGCTAGGTGTGGCTGTTGAATTCTCTCTGGCAGTCTGCAAAAAGTGTTCCTAACATTGGGTGGAGGAAGATGAGACAAAAAAGGTGACAGAGACTGCACATCAAACTGAAGATGGGTGTGGTGGCCTGAGCTGCAGGAAGCTGGGGTTAGAAAGGAGGGACAGGGTGACGACTGACATGCTCAGAGCAGGTTTGAAGGCAGACATCGAGGGAAGTGGCTCTGTTATGGTTCTGTGGCACTGTAAGAAAACAACTGCAGTACATGAGGGCCATAAAGGGAAGGTAACAGGGACATCTAGAAACCAACAGCTCCCACACTTACTTGGTGTGTGTGTGTGTGTGTGTGTTCATTCCTGTGGGTAAGTATGGGCATATGTACCATGGTACAAGTGTGTAGGTCAGAGAACTGGGTCTCTTGTTCACTACTGCATGCTTTGGGCTAGCTGGCCCACAAGCGTCCAAGGATTCTCAGCCTCCCACCTCACTGAAGGAGAGTAGGGATTACAGACGTGTGGTATGGCATTGAGTTTTTTACATTGCTTCTAGAGTTCTGAACTCAGTCCTCATATTTGCATGTTAAGTGCTTTTCCCACTGAGCAATAGCCCAGTCTTTTGTCCCCCTTTAAATGTGATCTTGCTAAATTGCTTAGGCTGGCTGGCTTCAAATTCATGACCTTCCTGCCTCTGCCTCCCAAGAAGCTAGGATTACAGGTGTGCACCACCATCCTAGCACTAATGCACTAATCTACCATTCCCTCCTTCTGAAACGGGGGCTTACTATATACTCCAGGCTAGCCCATAATCGTGCCTCATCCTTCTAGGTTCTAGGATTATACACCAACGTTGACTACCTGCATCTTTCCTTAGCCAGAGCTATTTCTGCCCTGCACATCTGCCTGCTCACCCTTCTAGGTCAGCTTGTACCTTGCTGTCTGTGTGAGCCCACCCCTTTTTTGACTTCCACTAAAGACTGTTTCCACTGGGCTCTGGAAGCAGACACCTTGTGCTAGGACCTGGCTGGGCCACTTCCTGAAGTGATCCATGCTAAGTGTCTCTCAGTTTAATGTTCCTCTGCTCTGTCATGAGTATTGAGAGGGATGACAACCACTGAATCAGAGAACTGGGCAAGGAATACAATGGAACAACGGGCCTGGGAATGTGATTCAGCAGTGGAACGCTTGCTTAGGCTCCCCCAGTGAGGAGCTCAGATGTGGCTCATCAGTTGAGTGCTTCCTCTAGGTCACATTGCTACTTGTGGGATTGCCACAAAGAGCACAAGTCCCTGCACCTTCCCCAGCTGTAATCAGCTCCTTCTCCAAATTACCCCAATGTGCATTCTTAGCGAGGGAGGAGGGAAAGCGCCCACTTCCTCACATTTGTTCCTGAACATCAAATCACCTCCTTCTCTCCCCATTAAAAGTTCTATCATTTTGCTAGGTGTGGTGGTACCTGCCTATAACCCCAGCACTTGAGAGGCAGAGGCAGGAGGATCTTCTGTTTAAGGTCAGCCTCAGCTACAAAGAAAGATCATCTTTCAAACAGCCTAAGTAAATAAAAATAAAATTCCTGGGACTGGAGAGTTGGCTCAGAGGTTAAGAGCACTGACTGCTCTTCCAGAGGTCCTGAGTTCAATTCCCAGCACCCACATGGTGGCTCACAACCATCTGTAATGAGATCTGGCACTCTCTTCTGTATACATAATAAATAAATAAATCTTTAAAAAAATTCCTATTATTTGGCTTTATTGGTTTTTCTCTCATTGTCAAAGTAAAGTGTGCCCATTATAATAAGCTAGAATATTATAAACATGGAAAATACAGAACGTGCTAATCCCTTAGAAATGCCATTTTAGTGGTGCTAAAATATTACCTTGGGTAGGTATAGTGGCACACACCTTTTATCCCAGCACTCATGAAGCAGAGGCAGGTGGATCACTTCGAGTTTGAGGCCAGCCTGTCTACACAGCGAGTTTCAGGCTAGCTATGGCTATATAGTGAGACAATGTCTGAAAAACAAAACAAAACAAACAAACAAAAAAACACCAAAAAATTTTTTACATTGGCCTAAAATTTTATTCTGAATTTATAAAGGGAAATTTTTGCTATTTGTTTTCTAAAAGGCTGTTTCATTCTTTTGTATCACATCTAAGTATTTTAAAATGTGTATGTAGGCATACATGCAGGCCTTTATTGTTCCAACTACTTAGGAGGCTGAGGCATGAGGATATCTTAAGTTCAGGTATTCAAGACCACCCTAGGCAATAAGACTCTGTCTCAGTACATACAATAAAATTCAGTGTGCTAGTGTGCATTGAACACAAGCTGCGTAGGCCGCTGAATTCCTGGAAGCCCAGCATCTTGGAGACTGAGGCAAGAGGAGCTCTAGGAGTTTAAGGAAGATAGTTAGACCTTGTCTTCAGGAAAGAATTTGATTTCAAAATGAAAACAGCAGAAGTGGAAGACTTAAAAAAAGAAGAAGAACAGGAAACAGGCTGGAGAGATGGTTCAGTGGTTAAGAGCCCTATCTCTCCTCCAGAGGACTTGTATTCAAGTTTTGGCACCCACATGATGACTCACAACTGTCATAACTCCAGTTTCAGGGGGTCCAATGCTCTCTTCTGACTTCTGTTGGCATTACACACATGTGGTGTCCATACATGCAAGCAAAACACCCACATACATAAAATACATTAAAAATTTTTTAAAGAAAAGGAAGTACACATTTCTTCCTAGAAGTGCACATATTTGACCACTGCTAATATTTAATACAAATCTCTTGGCATTCAAGCTGCCTGTGATTATAGCACTGGTGAAGCAGAGGCAGGAGGATTGCTACAAATTCAAGGCCAGTATGAACTAAATAGAGAAACCTTACACACACACACACACACACACACACACACACACACACACACACACACACACACACACACACACCATTAAACATAGAGAAAGATAGACATGGTCTTATACCTGCCTTTCAAAAACATCTGAGCCTGCAAGCTACTGTTTCATGGGAGAGTTGGCTCTATTGTCATTTGGCTCTGCTGTTTGACAGCTCAATGAGTCTCAGTTTCTCCACAGACCCAGCATGTTCTTGCACAGTTCAGCGTCAGCAGTAAGAGCTTGATTTCTGTTTCCTGTGGGATCTTCTTCCAGATGGTGATGAAGAACTAGTTTGGGGTGTCTGGGGGGTTGCAATCACACTTAAAGCAATTCCCCTGCTTCCTCTCATGCAAAGGTAGTTTCATTTCTCTAGAGGTCAGGGTGGGTGGTGCTGAGGTCCACAACAGTCTACAGCACAGAAGTCACTCAGACAAGCAGGTGGACCCCACCTTCCCTGGGCCTTCTTGGTCTCCTTAAGATCTTTGGGGTCATCTTTGACCCTTAGCTCATCTAAGGTGTGTCAAGACCAGAGGTAGGGCAGGTGAGACTTCACAGCTGTTCCCTCAAATGGTGCCCACTATGAAGAAAGGCTGAAGCTTAATACCTCTGGCTTCCCTGATGGGTGACCACGTAAAAGAATCCTAGGCAGAGGAGGCTCTTGAAAAAATCCTTTACCCTGGGGCTGGCTTTGTTCTTCCTGGACTGGCTCCTCTACTGAACTGTAGGAAGACGCCCTTCTTCATTCTGTCTCACAGTGGAAGACCAACTGCCTCTGAGATGCGCTTGCAGGGTTAGAGATGACGTGTACTGTCAGAGGCCTGCTTTTATATCCTAGAGTGACTGACTCCATGTGGGTACATTTCACCGTGATCCAAGACAGCCTGAAGGGGCATCCCACCTGCAGGGTGAGATAGATGCAGTCATCATTAAGGGTTCATGCAAGCACAAAAGGAGGGTGGGTGGGGCTTATCAATTATATTTCTTTTATCCTCATAACAATGGCACTTCAATAATTTACTCTGAACATACCCAGTTGATACTAATGATTTATCTTTTTGTTTTGATTGGGAAAAAGTCGGTCCGCCCAGCTAGTCGTCACCATGTGAGCCCAGAGCCCAGTGAGGCCTGGAAGCTCTTATCTGTGCCTTCACCCTGTCATGTTTGCACCTAGGAATGAAGGCAGCAGTCCTGCCTGGCCAGCCTCAACCTCCTACCCTCCCTTCTTCCACCATGCTCTTCTGTAATCCCACATGGAAGCCCTCTGACATTGGAATCTAGTCTCGTCTCTGGAAGCCACAGCAGGGGTGTGTGTGTGTGTGTGTGTGTGTGTGTGTGTGTGTGTGTGTGTGTGTATGAGAGAGAGAGAGAGAGAGAGAGAGAGAGAGAGAGAGAGAGAGAGAGAGAGAGAGAGAACATTGTTCAGGAGGTAGAGATCTTTGTGATCCTCCAATCCTATTACTCATTAAAGGACTTTTTTTGGAGACAAAGTCTTACTATGTGTCCCTAGAATTCACTATGTAGACCAGTTGTCTTTGAACTCACAGCAATCTGCTTGCCTCTGCTTCCTGAGAGCTAGAATTAAATGTGTGTACCCACCCCAGCAAGGGCTCCTTATGAAGGAACAGAGAAAAGTGAGCAGGAGGGAGGAGAGGACAAGGGGGGACAGTAGGAAGGGAGGCACCGGGGGGGGGGGGGGGGTTGGGGTGGGCGGGGGGAGAGACAGAGAGAGGGAAGGAGGGAAAAGGAGCAAGAGGGAAGGAGGAAAGAAATCTGGGGTTTGAATTCTCTTGGTCCTCGCTGTTATTACACTGAATTTATCTGGCTACCTGTCATTGCCCTCTTACCCCAAGCCCTAGGCTGAGGTGTCAGGAATGTCATGGAAGACTTTCGAAACTTGCCTGTGCTTCTCTTCCTTCCCTAATGAGCAGAACCCCATGAAGGAGTCAGGGCAGGGGAGAGGCCTCAAGAAAGCATCTGTCCAGTACCCAGCATTTTCTGCTCTAAATGAGAGCAACAAGAAACTGTGTTATTAAGTGAATATGAACTTCATCAGCATAGGCTGATGGGGGTTGGGGTACAGGTACCAGACAGTAGGCAGTCATAAAATTAGGGTCCTGCTGAGCCTGATGGCATAGCCTGTAATCGCAAGTACTCAGGAGGCTGTGGCAAGAAGATTGAAAGGTCAGGGACAGCCTGGGTAGCCCAGCAAGTCTCAAAATAAAAAGGAAAAAGAAGGCCAGGCGGTGGTGGCGCACACCTTTAATCCCAGCACTCGGGAAGCAGAGCCAGGTGGATCTCTGTGAGTTCAAGGCCAGCCTGGACTACGGAGTGAGTTCCAGGAAAGGTGCAAAGCTACACAGAGAAACCCTGTCTCAAAAAACCAAGGAAAGAAAGAAAGAAAGAAAAGAAAAAAGCAGGCTGGGGCTGTAACTCAGTAGACTGTCTAGCATACACAGAGGTCCTTGGTTCAATTCCCAGTAGCACAAAAAAGGAAGGGAGGGTGGAATACAAGGAGGAGGGAAACAAAGGCCATAGGAATATGATGAGGCCAAGCCCACAAGAGCATGTTCACGGAGGCATTTTTGGTGCACCACGGTGCCAGTGTGGGGCATCAGATCCACCCCCACCCCAACTCTGGCATCGCCAGCCTGTTCCCTCCATTGGATTGGTGAGCACAGGCTTCCTGAGCCTTTGCTGAGAGGACTGTGGCTGAAGTGGCTGGTGTGCTGGTAGAAGGTTCCTTGTGCACAGCTGCTGGACCCTGGCATGCTCTGATGCTATTGAAAAAAATCCCAGCACTGTCATCCCAGCTCCTGGAGGAAGTCTCTGCATGACAGCCTGTGAAGGAAGCCTGTATTTGAATTTCATCTGCAACCCCGGTTGCCTCCAGACAAGCTCAAACCTGCACAGATGGCCCCTCGCACCAAAAAGTAAAAATAACAAAAAGCTGGCGATTCTGAGCCTCCCTTTTTCTCTGGGCAGATGTGCGGCAGCACATTTTGGGAGGCGTACCGTCTGTATCTCTGCACTGCATCCTCTCCCCTCCTGTGTGTTCACACTTCCCACCCTCTGGCTTGCTGGTGGGTAACAGCTGTGGCCTTTGGATGTGATTTTAGAAGTGCCCAGAGTGTCTAAGCCTTTGTGTGGGACTCGGGATCTAGAGGAGTAAAGTTAAGAGTTGAAATGCATCTCTCAGGCACTACTCAAGACTGGTCATACGGTATCTATGAGAGGGCCCAAGGGAGCGGCAGAATGGTTAGAATGGGTTAGGTGACCAACAAGAGCAGAGAAGGACCTGCCATTTAGACTAGTGCAAGCCAAGAGTAGGAGGGCAACGCCAAATCCCAGCCAGCCATGGAAGAAGACCAATGGCTAGTTCACCTTCCTTTAGCTGAGAACAAAGGTTCTGCGCCCCAAGATTATAGTTATGGATCAAGACAGACCCAGAAAGGAGCCCAGAGAGCACTCTCTCAGGGTCATCTATTGAGCACTGCTCAACAGATGGGGAAAAGTTAAAGCAGGTAACCTGCCCTATACACCATGGAAGATATGTAGACAGACCGAACTCTGATGAACCATGTGACCTGAAGTCCCAAATTTCATTCAGAAGTGGTAGCTGGGGTCTTTGGTCTCTAAAGAGTCAGATGAGATAAATTTAAAGTGGAACAATTGCCAGGAGGAGAAATACAAAATTTATGAATTAAGAAAAATAGCCAAGGTATAATGCTACGTGTTTCAGGTGTGCCTCCATCTGGGTGTTGAGAGGCAGTCCTCCTTGCCCAGCTTGGCTTTGTTCTGTGCCGACATCCATTCTCTACTTGGTATTTTCCATTATCTTTAAGGTTGACATTCCTGCCAGCTAGAACTTCCTTCTCAGAATCTCTAGCTGAAGAGTCCCTAATCATTGTGGCCAAGGAATGCAGAGCTGGGGCAGGCCAGGCATGCAGCATGCATCAGTCCCTGGGGTTGGAGTCAGCCCATCAGAACTACCTGATTCCACAGAAGGGGGTGGGGGGTTGTCAGTGGTCGGGCAAAAGCAGCAAATGCAGAAATAGCACAGAACCTGGTTAAGGCCTGCGCTGCAGCAGAGATGAGCCAGTGAACAGCTGCATCCTGCATTTCACAGCAGGATTTTTGCTGTAGCTGGGAAGCCATATTCACCCATTCCCCATAATGGAGTTACAACCCCATTATGATGGTCTCAGTGACTGGCCTGGGGGAAGCCTGTTCACCCCTCAGCCTCAGGGCTGGGCACAACCCGGCAGGGTTCTGCTAATTTTTCCTTTTTGCTGTGTCCTAGGGCTCCCAGTGTTTGGGCTTCCATATTCCTCTTCCTCAACCTCACTCAGGTGAAAGAGACAGCCCAGGAGGCTCTTCCCTAGCCAAATCTCCAAGCTAGGATTTCTCTCCAGAAAGCCTTTGTACTACACGATATAAGCCCAACACCCCATGGCTGTTCTGGGAGGCACGGGGAGAACACACGTGGCTGAATATGTAGGGATGCTGGTTAGAGGACAAGGGAAAACAAAGACATCATCAGAGAGGGACATTACAGAAGCTGGCATATGGGTAAATGAATCTGGAGAAACAAAAAGAGAGGTTCAGCAATTTGCCAAAGGTCAGACACTCAGCCTGGCTTCAGGGCCTGCTGCTACATTGAGCTGCCTGGGAGCCTTGGTCGGGTTAATGGAATGTCCTATTAACAAGTTCCTGAACCCTCAAACGCAAAATTGGGAGGGGCCCAGGTATGGGTTTTCAGGGCCACAAGACCTAGTCGCCTAAGCCTGCAGGGGGCGCGCATTCCTCCCCAGGACTCTTGGCAGCTGAGCCCTTCTGCCTGGAGCATGCTTCCTACCAGTCCCAAGCCCTCGACTCCCCCTTTTAGGCCTCCTCAGGCCCGCCAGTCTGGGATGACAGCTTGGCTGGGCCCCACGCCTGGACTGCGCCTTGTACGGCGCCTCCCCCTGGTCACGCGGCACAGATGGGAGAGGAGGAGGACAAGGAGAGGAAGGAGGCCCTTTGGGGCAGAAGGATAGGAGCCCAATGCATTGGGCGTCGCCTCTGAAAGGAGTTCTGCGTGTCTCAGGGAGAAGAAAGGAGCAAAGAAATAGAGGAAGGGATGTCCAGGAAGCAGCGATGCGGGGCCAGGGGTCTGGACCACCGCAATGTCTCCGCCACACCCAGGCGGAAACGATCTCGACGGTTTGGCATGCGCCCGCCTCTAGACTGCTAGGGAAGCAGGCACCCTAGTCACTTCATTGCTCACGGGCAGCAAGCCTCACCATGTTGGCCGGCCACATGCAGCCCCAAGGGCAAGGGCAGGACACAGGAGTCAGACCCCAGAGTCCCTGCAACGCAAGCCACTGAGCAAGCCCCAGAAGCTCAGCTGCCTAGGCGGATTCTGGTGGCTCCACTCTCCAGCCACGTGGCTTGGGACAAGTTTCTTTACCTCATCTGTGAAATGGGAAAGAGCGCACCGTGTGGTGTTATCATATAGGGTGGTTCCGTCCTCTAGGGCCTGGCCTGGCCACAGCGGTCACAGTGCAATAGGATGGAGGAACTGAAATTCGGCCAGAACCAGGCCACCCGCGCCCCCGCCGCCCAAGACCTCCCTGCGCGCGCAGAGCCTACCCGCCTCCTTCCTCGGAGTCCGCGGCCCCGCCCTCCTGGCTCAGACTGTACTCCACGTGCGGCATGTTTACCCACGTGACCTCAGAGCCCGCCCCCCAGCCTCCGCCTCCGCGCCCGCTCCACCCCTCGACTCCGCCCCACATCTGTGCGGCTGCGCAGTAGTGAGCTAATGCTACCCGCTGCTATAACATAGCTGAGCTTAAGCGGAACGCTGTTTGGGCAGGCAGAACACTGGGCCTCCGCGTGGCTGCGCGGCACACCGCGAGG